ATCGAAAAATCTCATATCGATAAGCCCTTCATACCTCAGAATGTTCGCCAAAAACTGCACAAACCTTCAACAAATTACTTCAAGTATCGTGACTTTGGAGCGCTTAGACCTCTTTTTAATGTCCTTGGTTCCGTTCGTAATTATCAGGAGATGATTGCGAAAAATGATGAGGCTACCGCGCTAGCTAGCTCCTCCAGAGTGTGCTGTCGTGGAACCTCTAAAGAAGCGATCCAACCGGCCAAAGCACAATAATAGTAATAATATATTTCAAACAGCACGGGTGGCATGAAAGCAAACCAGTTTACAGGTTTGATCACTTTGGTAATGTGGACCGATCGCTATATACAGTAATAATAATAATAATAATAGTACTCCATACAACCGGTTTACAGGTTTGATCATAATGGTAATAAGAACTGACTGTTATGTGCAATTTCAAGCTATACATTAGATACCGTCATTCACGGCACTTAAGAGATGCGTCTAAAGAATGAACGTTAATACTTCACAGACAGCAAAGAATGAATACAGTCGTGACCTCGGGTTGTGTGCGTTCGTCATAAGGTCCCGATGGCATGGTGCACGCTGACAAATGTAATTACTGGGATTCAATATGGATGAAGGACTGGTTAGGTAAACCTGTAAAGTGTATGACAAAATCGAGCGGCGGGCGAAATTCGAAACTGTAGTACAAAAATTCTACGCAGAAATATATCAAACATGATACATGGGGGTGAGCTCATTGCACCGACTACAAAAGTTATGTGAAGAAGTATCCCAAACCCACTGTTTAGAGGTAAGCCTATGGGGAAGAAGATGAAGGTGCACACGAAAGTAGTGGAAACCAAGCTGACGATATCACTGTGGGATAGACTGCAGGATTTCGGACCAGGTATTCGCTTATGTGCGGAAAATCTGTGTACAGAGGTTTGTTGAGGCTGTAAACAACTAGGTAAAATTCATGGTTCTTGCTATATTGGTAACCACGCTTTATGTAGTCGTGGGGGAGGGATGACCATGGTGTTGCTTGTCTAGCGTTATCATATCAGGGCTATCGAGACATAGTGGTGCACAGTAGGTTGAGCTGGTAGAACTGGCGAACGTTTTTCTTGATAACCTCATTCTTTTTACCATTATTTTATCGTCATACATAAAAGAGCTGTAGGTTTCATAAAGATACCTCCATACAGGCAAGCGTAGTTCAAGTTTATCTTCCTGCTGTCATGCCTATTGGTCAGTTATCACCATCTCCGCATATATCCACGTTAATTTTTCAAATATTTTTGTGCTACACTCAATAGAGTTGATGGCTATGAGCATACATCCAGCTTACTGTCAGCTGCCTGGACCGTGCGTACATTATTGATTCAATCATCCCTTGGTATGTGCCACACGTCAGGCAACACTTGTGAACATTATACCTCCACTCACACAGGGCCAGGCTTGATTTATGACTCAAAACTGACTTGTACTACTGTACAGCACAAAGACTCCTATCTTATCATAATGAGAAAAAGGAATGGTAGGTAGAATGTTTATTTGTAGGAGGGGTTAAGGGTAGCTGAACTACGACAGCATCGAGGTTAGGAACGGTAACTAGCATTAAGCACAAATTAGCATCAAATGGTATGTTATCCAACAAAATTACTCACCACTTGATAAATTTTTGTGCGGTTCCATTAGATTGCTGCGTGCCGGATTCCAGATATTTGGTGGGCCAATAAGGAACTAGGTGTCATCTATGTAGGGCACATTAAGAATCCCGCATACTCCAAGTTCAGAAGACAAAGGCGATGGTGACACCCAACCAACGCCACCACCAACAACAACAAGCTCCAATCACCATCAACGCGAGAAAATTGAAAAAAAGTGGCCTCTTTCACCTATCCAGGCAGCGTAGTTTCAACTACAGGCGGCACAGATGATGGCGTCAAAGCCAGCAGCAGAAAAGCAAGACGGTGTGGAGATCTCCTGCACTCAGCATAAAGCGTGAATAAGATCCGGATTTTCAGCATTAATGTCAGTCAGGTCACTGCTTCTAAATGATGGTTCAGAGACTTGGCGCGTTACGGAGGGCATTTCCAGCAAACCACAGATATTCATCAACAGCTGCCTACGCTCATTACTGAAGCTCATATGACCAGAAAGAACAAGCGACAAGGAACTCCGGCCGGCCAACGGGCCAACCAAGAACCTACCATTCAAACAATATGCAGAAGGAAGTGGAGATGGATTGGGCATGCACTAAAAAGACCATTCGGGGGCATCAAGCGCCAGGCACTCGAGTGGAACCCAGATGGGAAACGGCGAGTTGGACTTCCAGGGAGAGGGTGACATGGAGGAAAGGGTGTGAGAAACAAATGACAGTTTCTTGGCGGTCGTGGAAACAGGTTCAAAAGATTGCAGAGAACAGTGTGGAGTGAAGACGTGTTACTGAAGCCCTATGTTCCACTAGGAACCCAATGGAAAAATAATATGACAATATAATCTCTATCCTTTCAGGCTTTTTGGAACTAGAGAGTCGACCACTTCAAACATCAACACTTTCCAATAGGCGAGACGCAAAACTCAAGAGCGCATCCTTCACCAATTACACAACACGAAGTTTGAAGTTTTAAGGAGACAAGACGACCGTGACGCACACATGACTCTACGGAATCGAAGCGACATAGGGGTGCGGGGAGACAGGAGATCGTTCCAGTCCAACCTCGCCGAAAGGCTCGGGGTAAACCCCAAAACCTTTACCGATTCATGGCAAAAGGAAAATCGACAAGCCAAGGAGCATATGTCATAAAAGGTCCGAACGGAGAAAACCTTTCTGGACAGGAGATTGCTGAAATGCTGAGCACCACATTTGACGTACAGCCCAACATTCCATCAAGAAAGTGTGCGTGCCAATTGCACGAACAGCGCCCAACGTTTCCCGACACTACTGAGTTGCACGAAATACAGATAACCCGCGCTGTTGTTCTCGACAAGCTTTTAAAGGTAAGTGCGGGAAAATTCCCAGGGTGCAACGACGTTCGCCCATCTGTGTTGAAAGAATATGCAAGTACCCTAAGTGGTCCACTTTGCAACCTCTTCCAACACTACTTGGATGAGCGAAAGCTCCCACGAAAGTGGAGACGGGCTATCCTTTCTCCCATCTTCAAAGGAGGAGACAGACAGAATCCCAACTGTTATAGGCCCATAGCACTTCTACCGGTAATACCAAAAGCAATGGAAAGTGTGATGAACGGCCGTATCAGAGAATGTCTGGACACCAAGCGGGCACTCAGTGACACTCACCATGGCTTTCGGAAGGGTAGGTCCTGTGCCCCCAACCTCCTGACGGCCCACGATCATTGGACAGCATGCTGGGATCTCAAGGTCCTTGTCCACGCAATTTTTCTGGACTTCGCCAAAGCCTTTGACACCGTCTCACACCATATCCTAATACATAAGATAGCTGAGTTACGTATTCACAGCCATTTGCTGTCGTGGCTGCAGGACTACTTAGACAACAGGGAGTTCTGCATGAAAGTCAACAGGGTCCACTCAACTTGCAAAACATCCTCATCCGGTGTCTCACAAGGAGCAATCTTGGGCCCACTGTTGTTCCTACTGTTCGTAGATGACCTGCCGCAACATGTCAGCTCCCCGATTCTCCTATACGCTGATGACGTCAAGTTATGGAGGGCAACAACTTGCGAGGGGGAATCTACGGCACTGCAGAAGGACCTCAGAACACTACAGTAATGGGGAACTAATAAAGAACTGGCATTTAATCTGGGTAAGTGCCGGTCCATGTTTTTCCGCACCCCTGATCCCCAGAAAACATCCTACTATCTCTGTGGTTCACGTCTATCCCATACCACAGTAGAAAAAGACCTGGGTGTAACGGTGACGGAGAAACTGGACACCAGTTCCAATTACCCAGGTGATGTCTCAAAAGCATATGGAGTACTACACTTTGTGCGTGGGCAACTGGGTGCCCTCACCCCAGAACTCTTTCTGAAGCTCTACAAGACTTACGTACGGCCCCACTTAGAGGTTCACAACGTCTTCTCTCCACCACGGCTGAAAAGAGGCGCGAACTTACTGGAGAAAATCTAGAGGCAAGCCACAAAAGGGGTTGTTGGAATGCAACGAAAACCATACTAGGATAGACCCAAAGACCTAGGTCTATACTTCCTTGGCTATCGAAGGATACGTGGCGACTTAATAATGGCTTACAAAATAATGAGTAACCCAAGTTGCCCAAACAGAGGAATTTTACCAAGTGGACACTATGGAGATCCTTGAGGGAACCCCAATCGAATAGCCCACCAAAGGTCAAAAACGCATGTGCGTCCATAGTCCTTCTCCCTCCGAGCCTGTGGGTACTGGAACGCACTACCAGCAGAGGTGGTCTCCGCCCCAACCATTGAAAGCTTCAAGAAGAGGCTAGACAGTCATGCAGAGACTCACGGTCTACCCACACATAGCTGGAACATGAAATGATGTCAAGCCACCCCAACCAGCTTTCTTTCTATTGTAACCATTTAAGCCCTTTTAACCCCTTCCACTTGCCATAAGTTAGCCTCACTTACCCAAGTTCTTCATAAGTTTGCACCCCTACTTATCTTACTTGGGTGTAAGTAGATTACTCCATTAGTTCACTTGTCCTCTCTTCTTTTACTCACACAAACACTTTCTAGGTTTTCTCTTCACTATCCCTAACCCTCTCTAGCGACCAGTCCGAACAACCGTCTGGCAACTCGACATCTGAAGAAGCCAACTGCACCACAGTCCAAGACAAACAAACCAACACTTCTTGTTCTGCAAATCAGAGCTGTAGCAGTCAAGTGGCTGGACCTACTGCATCGGAATCCTCCAAAGATCTGGAGCCGTTCAGCAAGCTCAAGAAGGGAGAGCGAAGAAATCAACTGGTTTACACAAGCTCGTTAAAAAGATATTCGATATTAGATATATAAAGGCGCCAACTACCACGTTAACGCTACACATGTTTGAAAAGACACATGGTTTTCAAGAGAAATCGAGCGTCTTCCAGCATAAAGACACTCAAAACTAGTAACAGATCTCTTCCTGGTAGTTTTGGACGCCTACAGTATCTACAAAACTTGCTGACTGAGTATCAAGAAACATCGATAACAGAACACAGGGAACAGGTTTGTTAGAGCCACTTCTCATGTCGTAGATTGTAGCCAACCTTGCGAATTTCTGCTACGATTCACGTAACGGCCCTCATCTGCGCCAACTGCGGCTAGTAGATCTCTTTTTCGATTGCATCAAGGAAGCATCAACCGTGTGGTTTAAAGTTGGTGAGTAATTTTTTAAATTACACTTTGCAGTAACAAAGTTGTTCGTGCAATTAATTGCTTCTCTTTCTTAAACATGTTTTCAAAGAGTTTCAACTTTGAACCTACGAGACATTGCTTGAGGTTGTTTTCAGGTAATCTAGAAATCGCTTGACATATTAATAGGGGCTTTGACCGTTTGAAGATACCATTGTTTTTTAGATGCTGCTTCTTTCGAAGTTTTATTAATGTACAGGTAGGATTTAGGCATTATGGTGTAGTTCTATCATAGTTTTCCTCTATATGCGTTATCCACATGTGGACTACAATGGAACTATTCCAGCTTCCTTGTAACACTCAGTTTCAACGGCCACTAGTCGGTGAATAAGCTATGTATATCTGCATATGGGTGTCAAAAGATTATTTTGCTTTCCTCAATCTCATTTATTACTTCTTTTTTTCACGACCTTCCGTTACTAGCATGATAGCTAATTTTGATTTGTGGTAGCCATAAAATTTTCACGTAAAAAAATCATAACCTCGCTTCACAGTTACGGTTGCTTCCATTCGTGGTTGTTACATGAACTTATACTTTGTTATTTCAAAAAACCAAGTTAAAGACTTTTATTGCAAATTTTTCGCATTCTGCAGTCATGAAAGAATAATAAATGATCCGATAAGGTTGAAATCCTCAAGCATTATTTCTCATGGACAGTCTATTGCTTACCAACTCCCGTTAATGGATTGGGGAAGAATCGCTAAGTATTTGGTTGCCATATCACTTCAAATCGGGATTTCTAGTATGCTATTCTCGTCACCAATCTTGATTTTTTTGTGATGGTAGTAAAAGAAGTATACAGACAGTCCACTTAAATTAGTCATTTCAGGAGATAGCATGTAATTGTGAAAACTGGCAAATCATTGGGAGGGGTTATACACCTCCCTATTGATTTCTTCAAGACATCGTTGGGAATCTTTAGACTAGAAATTGTTGACCAGTAGTGCACGTGTATTCACTCGTCATTGTTGCAGACAACATATATACTCATCCCATCGACTTTCATATTCTCTCATTCGGATGTTCTTTACGTGACATTTTCATCTTATACCTTTTTTATGTGTGTTAAGTTATCTTAATGTGATTGCCTCAGGCCTGGAAACTGATGACTATATACTCTTATTACATAAAACAAAATAGCTATTGTAAAGGATACTTCTGTGTTAGGTTGAGTCCATTTTGCTTGCATAAAAACCAGTTAGTATCTCAGCGTGCGTATTACATTTCTCCGTCAATCAAATGCATTGGAATTCGCTACAAAAACAAATGCATCTAAATTAATCACAGTCACATTTCCCATGTCATGATTCCCAGCCTTTTTTATAGGTATTCCCCTTTTGCACCTGTTTATGATATTTTCCTCAACAATAAAAGCACATATATACCTCACGTGTACTTTTTGAGTTTTTACTATACGGGAAATTGCATGGTAGAGTAACAGAAACCCCCACTGCTGATGTGCATTATGAATCATATCAAAGTGCTGTAGACAATCTTACAAATGTTAGTCCGAAAAGTGTCTCATTTATGAATAGCATAATTCTAGTAACCAGCTCTGATGATAACGTGTCTTTCATTAATTCCATGTTTCGAATTTATTCTACATAGTTGAATCTTCGTTGATGGTGTGTTTTATGTGTACGTCTCGGACGTCCATTCTCTCCTAGATGATTCTATTTTCTCACAAACGTACTTATGGAAAAGGTCCCTCTTTCGTCCCCTGACTTTACAGGGTTGAGCTGGGCTCGGGAGATTCCTCAGTCGGTCTTGAGGAAGCAGATAACATATTCCTTTTTTGTGAAGATGCTGGCAATATGTGGAGTCATCTGGACACCCACAGCGGCAGTTCGTGTGTTTGGTATGCATTTTTCACCATCCAACGAAAACTGTTTCTCCAGGACTAGTCCGCGTCAGTGCCCTGCTTAATATAAGGGAATAAAATTGTTGGTTGCGCCGACCACTTCACTTATCTAGGAAGTATAGTCAGCCCTATTGGGTCTATGACCAACGAAACGTCTGTATGGATACAAAAGGCTCTCTACGTCTTCGACAAATTACACCATTTATGGTGCCATCGGGATATCCGATCGCCTATTATAGGCCAAGTGTACATTGCAATGGTTTGCCCTATTCTGCTACATGGCTGTGAAACATGGTCATTCAAGGTAGGAGAAATGAGAAGGCTTCAGATATTCGACCACTATTGCCTTAGAAGCGCAGGCCGCATGCAGTGATGTCATCACATCAGTAACGTAGGAGTCAGGCGTAGAGTTCTAGGAAGAAGACAAAAGGCAGTCAATGATGTTGACTTTCATCGATTGAGATGGCTGAAGCATGTATTACACAGGCCTAATCACCATCTCTTGCGTCATAAAGTGTTGGCTGAAGTAGATTTAGACTGCAGAAATTCTGGAAGTGACTCGACTAAAAGATGACATCATTGCGTGAGGTTTTCGATTGTTGTTCTGAGATGTGTAGGTGAATGTAGACATCCGGGTTGAGGTACGCATGATGACCGAAATTGGTGTTTTGAGACTAAGTGCTGCGTCTGAAAATCACTCCATTGAAGTTTTTGTGTACTAGGATGTGAGCAGCACTTATTGTATGGGATCTTGTGATGCTACTCAGTAGGCCAAGTTGAAGTAGGTGGAACGGTATTTGAAACCAGGAGCTTAAAATGGAAATCCAAGTACTTAACTTATTGAGCATTAGATCCACGTATTTCAAGTCGAACTCAAGAACATACATGTTTTTGCAAAACATGACCGTTAAATATGTACGATTTTATGAGGCCTCAGATATTCTAGAGGATTTATAAACAAAACCATGTGGAGGGAAGTCAATTGGTAAGGTAATCAGAATTCACCAACCAAGGTAGTTAGGGTGTGTAAAGGGAGAATCCAAAACCTCTATGTTGTTACCATATCAGAAACGTCAAGAAGAGTGCTCAATAAATCCTGAATTAGTGGTACTTGAAATACAAACACCTAAAAACGAACTTTCTGGGTTGGAAAAACCTGTAGAACCAACTAGAGAAAATAATTTAGTTTACCAATTTCATGGATTGATTTCGAGGTTAAATACAGAGGTCAAGGTAGTCAGTCAGGGTCAGCTAGGGTGTCTGATCGTTAGAACTTAATTAAACCAATATTAGTTAAACCAATATTGTTAAGCCCTAATAAGATAACGAACCTAGAAAAAAGTCAGACCATAGTTGCTCTTGCAGTCATACATAAGAATTATAAAATGAGTGACGGTCTTTAAAACTAACTCAGTGGGATTTAGGGGAAGATAGACGAAAAAATCTTTGTTTATCTAATTAAGATTTGATAGGGATGACCCATCACCCGTTCCAAATATGTGAGAATTAGGACTATATAAACCATTTCTTAGAGTTTTAGGGTTACCTTTATAAGAATATGGACAGTATAGTATCCAAAACGTTATCCAGTAAATAATACTTTCACTGTATGATATATCTAATAAACTGCGTAAAATGAAAATTCTATTCTCTTTTGGCTCTGTTTATTTTTCTTCATGACCCACAGTATTGTGTTCCTCATATTTAGAGTTATATTGTATGATTTCCAGCCTTTTTCACCGAGTCTCGGTTTCTAGTAAAAAGGTAAGATTATTCTCTTACCCCAACATTGCAGCTTTCTAAACCACCTTTGCTATACTATATTCCACTAGTTTCACTGTCATCAGTAAGTGGGATAACAGGTCGGAAATCTGTGTTGCCCTACCTTACGATCTGGCATGACGAATTAAATGCTTATCTCTTTATGCCTTTGAAAGCTGAATCGAATATGATGAGTCGGATTTCACGTTTCCTTTTTTGAACCTCCTCACTATTGTATGGGCGTCAACCAATCAATTTCATCCAAATAACTTCTTAATTCCATGTTTTTCTCCTTTTTGATAATTTATGGCAAATGTTATAAAAGAAGCAAAAGTTAGTTTGCTAATCTAGAGTCGAATCTTAATGTTAGATTTTGAACACCTGGCTCAGTTTTTATGGTGTCGAAGCATTATATCGTTATATATACTGGCAAATTATAGCAGCGGTGGCAGGAATAGAATCAAAAATGGACTCTTCGAAGCTGGACACATTTCTCGAACAGCAGATGAAGAGTTACTAACTCAGTCCAGAATTTCTGCAGTTAAATTATCAAATCCTACACCTGCTATATCAGCCACTTCAGTCGACGGGATTGCAACCAGTATCACAGAATTTTATTGTGAATCGGATGCTAATGTGACTTTCTATACTTGGTTCCGAAGATACGAAGACCATTTCAGAGTTGATTTTACTGGTCAAGATGATTCATGTAAAGTTTGTCTCCTTCTTCAAAAACGGTCCATCTGAATTAGATCAGTATTGCAATATAATACTGCCACAGAATCCAAGGAGTGGCTCCTTCGATGCCACGATACAGACCATAGACAACACTTTGGTAATCATTCGTCTCTTTTCAATGGTAGATATCATTGTCTTAAACTGCTCATGAACAAGAATGATGATTTCTTCACTCATGTTATTGTTAATCGCGAATGCGAAAGATCCAAACTGAAGTCCATCACCAATAACAAATGCAAATATTTGATACCTATATGCAGCCTTCACTTGGCCAGGTTCGCAGACATTCGAATGAGATTGCTAAATCAGTTGAAGCAAGACCTAACACTAACGTTGGAAGATATCGCTGCTAAATATCAACAACTGGTCAACCTGCAACGGACGCCAGGGTGATCATCAAGTGCATTTGGTCTACTAGACACTTAATTCCTCTCCATCCTATTCTGGCCGAAAGACCCCTGGTTCTTCGTCTCCTGTTCATCATGCCAACAGCTCATACGATACCAAAAAACAAGAAAACGACTCCATCCCCCTGCTGGCATCGTACTGCGTGGCTTTTCATCAAATCTTGTCCTTATGAGCATGATAAATGCACGGAATGTGATTCTATGGGTTACAAAGGACGGATTTACAAGCACCACCCACCACAAAGAATAGGCAAGTCACCACGCAGTCACTGTCGAAGATTGAAGTCTCGACCAGTCGGTAAATCTCTTAGTCTTACTGCTACTTTTCAAGTACGTGCACGAGCACGGAGAACATATATCACCGTCCAAGTAAATAACCATTCAATGAGACTACAAATCAGCACAGCTCCAGATATTACAATTATTGGCTATTAAACTTCATGACATTTCATCACTCATGTCAATGCACGTGGATAATTACGGACATGAATTTAATTTCGACAATGTAGAAATCTTGAATTGAGAGAGGAAACACTAAAGATATCAGAGAATTCCTAGAAGCTTGCTATTCAGGTCAGTCAGTAATCAATAGGTGTGTAGACATAGACCAAATATATGAAGCAACAAAAAAAAGAAGTGACAAACGACAGAAAGGTCAGAGGTCAAGCAGAGAAACAGCCAACAGAAAAATCTATGCAGTCAATGACGCAACAATTAAAGTAAACAACCAATCACAGGCCAGTTCGTCAGAGCAAACCACTAAATCACTCGCAGTGAAATATTGACAGCTCACTTCACACTGAAGTTAGTGCTGACTATGTCGTCTAGAAAGACTATGGAAGCTCCACGATTAAACAATCCAGCTCAGGGAACAAAATACAACCAAGACCATCCACTTAAGCCAGAAATATTCTCCACCATTTCGTTACACGTCTGTAATGTATTGCGATAATTCACTGAGGAATTACCTGCAAACTTTTGTCTTAATCGATAAGAGTTTATCAAGAATAAAAAATTTTGAAGAAAATATGAAGTATGTATAGTCAGTATACATTTAGACCTAAAGCTTTTTGTTGAAGCAAACTTTACTTTCACAAGGGAATTAATGTTAAACATCATACTGTTAACAGTTTAGACTGACAATACTGGAGAAAGTTGGAATGAAAAGAGTAGTTTGTACTACTGAAAACAAGTATTATGTTCGAAGTAAGTTTACTGTTGTAGTTGTTACGTGGTCCGTGTCATTTGTGTGACAGTAAGCAATGCCTATTGCATTCACTTTTGATAACAGTGGTTTTACAAATAGTATTCTAATTTAGAATTTTATATTTCAGCCTTTCAACCTGGTTCAGACGTGAAAGTGGATGAACATACAATTCGTCTAGCTGAATTTGCCCTTGGTGGTCTCTCCAATCTTTCAGCTTCATCGGAACTTAGCCGTCAGGATATTCTTAATCACATACACCTACCCTGTGTTGTGGCTTGTTCAACCTCACCAAATAATTCAATTGTTGTGTATTCTCTAACTATACTTATACACTTGTTCACTCCTAGTCCAAATTGTGAAGAGTCAATCTCTTTAAGTTCTCGATTCCCCGCTGCAGTTCAAATAGTGCGTCAGTACTGTGAGTCAACCAATCTGCATGCCAATATTGACCCTCGAATTCGGATCTTATCACAGATACTACTGGAGGATTGTTGTACTATCACTGTTCCTCACTAATTGACCTTACATGTTCAAATGTGTAGTGTCATAAAATTGAAATGTTTAGAAATTCCAATGTTAATTACTTCTCATCGATCTTCTTCCTTATATTCGTGTATAACTTTCTCGAAACCTAATCGCCAGCTGTCTAAAACATCCTCATTAAAATGTTTCGTGCGAAATCCTGGTGAGAAAAGAGAGTTCGGTGTTGCCAGATGAGAGCTACCTCTGTGAGTTGACCTTTTTTGCCTATATTTTTAACAGCAATAGTTTCAAATATTATTCCCTCCAGCTGATTGCCATTTTAAGATCTGGAGTTCACTTGATATATATATATATATATATATATATATATATATATATATATATATATAAGCACAGGTATCTAACTCATTATCTTTATGAGCTACTTCAGCACATATGAATCTATTTATCCTACCGTATGTCTCGACACTTAAGAGGCCATATAAGTTGATTTAAATCCTGTTATAATTATGTACACCCAAAAGTTTGGTCATTTCGGATCTAAGTACATAACCATTATAACTGTACTTTTTCTTTGGTTTGGATTCGCTGCAATTTTAGTTGTTCACCATAAGATATCATTTACTGTCAATCAGTCAGCATCAAAATAGGACATGGCATTGGTGCGAAAAGCAGGTCAGACAATCAAGTTGTGAACATTCACTGACTGAGGTGGCTTGGAAATGTTTTGCGCTTGTCTAACTACCGCCTACCTAGATGTACATAGCCAAAGTACAATTAGGTTGGAAGAAGACTAAGTAGTTCAGACAAAGACGTGGGATCGGTCGACGAAGTCTTCAACTGTGTTAGTTTAAGTGATGTGGGGATGTATATACTCTGGGGCTGTCGATGTAATAAGAATGAATGGTTGTAGACTCTTGGTGGCATGATTGAAATTCAGTCACAATGGCTCTTCAGAATCCTAAAGATTTTGTTTAACTGCATTTACTGATTCTCTCTCCTATGCACTTGTGCATGCTTTAATATCAATACTTTCCCCTCAATCTGTTGTTTGCATGGTACTGTGAAGCGTGGCAATTTCAAGTGATGCACCCCTGTACGAGGTTTTTCGTTGATTTTTCTGTCTGTTTTGTTTATTACGTATTGTAAATAATATTTTATCGCTGTTTGTTACATAAATTAAAATAATTCGACGTGGAATTACACTCGGTTGTTGCACCCCAGCTCCGTACTTTTAATACCCTGTGTATCGTAACAAAACATTGGGGTGTGCAGTCCGGCTTAGATTATCTTAGGTACTATGATCAACAAATAATGGTTTTATGTTGCTAACCATGACTCTATCCTCTTGTCAGCATAAATGTTCAACATAGAAAACAGAATTGCTGATAATCGTGTTTAGTGTTTTCCCACCTTTAAAGCTTGTCTCTTGGGCGTTTCATCACTAGGCTAGGTGACTTCATCAGATACAGATCTCCACTGTCTTCAGAATTACTGATCTTTTCTTCCCCTTTTTTCGTTATATGATCAATCATTTGTATCACTGGTGCAAGAATTCAAATGAATACTAGATCCATGCTTCAATGTAGACTAGCACAAAACTGTTTTTAAAAGTATCACTACTGGTCACTAAAATTTGTAATCCCTAATCCTATGAAAAACCTTTTTTAAGAATTTCTTGCGAGGAGATTCGCATCATGTTCAAACTTTATTCACTGTACACTGTCTACAAATAGCATGTTACCCAGGTGTTCATGATCTCCACCTGTGTAAATGGTCAAACAGGTTTATGACCTGCCACTCGCTTGTGATTTATAGTGAATGTCGTTGGATTACTGGAACATTTTTCCTAAATAGGAATAAATTGGAACTCTGCCTATGAAATTGAGTTTCAGTATAAGCCTAACATGTTTAAGAAAATCAAAACAAATTTTTTCTGAACGTTTTATTGTACATTCCATAGCTTCTCTCAGCTTTCAGTACATTTGTAGCAACTGCGGACTGAATATTTGTTGTTTGACATTCTCTTTGGTGAGAATTCGTAATTCATCCACCTAAAATTAATTCTCAGTTCCTATCAGGGACTATTTTGGAGGTAAGTGTGCTAAATTTTCGCGTAAGGTCTCTACAGAAAACCAAATGCTTCAGAATCGCTTTAATTCAACAACCAAGTTGAATTGCATGCCCTAGGACGTTTATTACACTTATTGTTACGAGCTCATTTAACTGGTTAATCTCCCAAAAGTCGGTACTTGGGTGTGTTCGAACTGATGACCTATTGACTAGGTTCCAAGTACCTAGACCAGTGAACCATAGCCAGACGTCATGACTTAGGAAGAACTGAAACGTACCACACTAAAAGATAAATCAAGCCATATCACTAGTTGACTTATGTTAAAAGTTTTCGTTACTAAAATCTGGATTAGTGGTTATTAAAAGTTACAGCTGTTAATCATAAGGTCTGTATCCTGGTTTCAATCTCTGAATGGGAAATAATCACACTAACACTTGAAACACAGACTGTGAAATAAGAAATAAACAAACCCTTTAAAATATTAGAACGAAAGTGAGAGGTAAGGGATAACTGAGCGACCACAGAATTAATTCCCCAAAATGCATCCGAAAAGCTCTAATTACTTTTCGATTACCTAGGACACAAGGAACTTGCAGTATAATCACCATCAGCTTCGATTGTATTTCATAACTGAATCATATATCCTCTTAGACTCCATCCAGGATGTTGTGACTGCACACAACTGTTCTTCATCGCACGTTATAGACTGAAGTTCAGAAGGGATCTAGATTGGTATATTTTCCTCTAGTTTTTCACTGTGCTGTTGGAAATCTGGTGAGTTGTATCTTTGTGAGCATACCTGACTGACTATCCGGAAATACCGATTTTTTGATTATATCAGTGGATGTGAAAGTGTATTTCACTTAGTGTATAGTGTGTCCTGGGTAAAGAATCTACTACTGTTCAGTTGATCTTGATAATTTTTTAATTTTATGAATATCTAAATGGAATCAAAACTGCCTTTAAATTTGTACTAAATTGCATCAGATCTGTAGATGGGTTTTTCTCTCGATCAACTAAAGGATCAAAGTATACTAGTTAGTCTAATAAAGTTTTCTGTCTTTTGTAGAGTACTTCATTTTTCTGCTTTACAATGCTGGTTTGCACAAACGCGATAATTAAATCAGTTTGTAACTTTTAGTATCTCGTTAGTGTTAACCCCATTTGTTTTAATCAGAAAAAGGTATCAACACCGAGGAATTTTTTTCCGTCTAAATAAAATTATTGTTTACCGGCAAATGCATTACGTCGCAGATGGTGAGACCTTGCTCGTTTGTTTTTAAAATAGAAACACTTTAATATACGTCGGCTAACAAATTACACTTTTCAGCAACTTGTAATTGCTTTCTACTGTGATATTCCGGGTTGTGGTAGTACATTTCTTGGTGGCCATAGCGTACAAGATTTGTCTTTAAAGTATAAAAATACACATCTTGGATTTAGTTAGACAAAAAATATCGTTTTATTGATTGATTGGAAATTTCTTTTCTAAGAAAATATTGTTTGGCCTTATGGTTCATAATGTATACTTAGTTAAGCTAGAGTTTATTAGTTAACGTGTAAATAATAATGTTGATGATACGACCTGACAGTCTAAGAGCAATACGAGACTAGCAGACTATGAGCAGTACGAACGTAATGCGGAACGAATTTACTCTGATGCAAATCAGAACGACAACCATCACCACATTACCACCCACGCGCTGAGATGAGAAGAGAAGTCAGACCGTTGACAGAGAGCTTTTTACTGTCTCAACAAGAGTCAACAGCGATGCTGAATCTATGCATTTCTGAATGACCTTGGCAACACAATCCGCATATACGTTAACAACCGATGACAGTTCAACCTTGAGAGGAAAGAGAAGAAAAGCTAGAGACGGTGGGAAAACGGCTATGCAGGCTATTTTAAGGTCATGGACAAAACGGCAGGCAAAGCTATGCAAAATTAGGGGTATATAGGAGTTGATCAGATCTGTTGACATCTCATTAAAAGTATTTTTTGTAGGTAGCGAACCGCAAATATTGTGTAGTGGTGGTAGTGATTGATTGTATTTGGCTATGCAATTCCCAATATGTATAACAGGGTTTGACAGACAAGCAGTTTATTTCAAATAGGAGCTGACACAAAGGTCCATCGCCTCAGGTTACCAAATTTCATAACAACCAGGGGCTAAAACCAACAAGTAGGAGGATATTAAAATAAATACGAAGGACATCCAAATAGAGAGAATTTGATGTCAATACTAAGAGAATGCTCGGAATTTTATAGATGATAAGAAAAGAAAACTTTTATGAAGGATCTTGATCCGTCACGGCAAAAGTTTACAACTATTTGTTCCTAAACTCTCAAGCAAGTCATATGGCTTGGATCAACGGTAGGTAAGTCAGGGTTTGGGCTCAGTTGAAATGTAAGAGTTAAGTTCCCGAACCGCCGATTATTAGGGTATCATTAATCAAACGCATACCGCGTTGCATTTACTATGGAATAGATAATCGTGTACTACTCAGACCTACATACAGTTAATTGCGTTTTTAAATATTGCCTACATGTATTGAATGAATTTTCTCAAGTTATCACTCTATAGTACGTTTATTGGTTACTGACACGTTCGATCTTTGATCTTTCTAGGATGAGGAACCGAAATCAAAATCACAATCAAGATTACTATCACATCAGTTGTACTCTTCAGTTATTCAAGGTAAGCATTATCGATTTACATTTTAAAATGGTAACGAAAACTGAACGAAATGCAATCAACTAGTTCGGGTACACCCGTCAGCAGACAGTGAGCCACACCTATTTTGAGAGGGCTATTAATACTACCTGGCTGCCCAAACCTCTGTTGGAGCGGGGCTCAAATCCGAGTTCCAGTGGTTGGTAGTCATCTCTCTAAACCCCTGAGCCACGGCTGTATACCACCATCACTCTGTCAGTAAACACGTATATCTCGATTCTATGCCATATCGCCGACAGTCTACCTCCACTGGTTTCTGCTATCACGCCTACTCTAACTGTGATGTCTACATTCACCTACACATCTCAGAACAACAATCGAAAACCTCACGCAATGATGTCATCTTTTAGTCGAGTCACTTCCAGAATTTCTGCAGTCTAAATCTACTTCAGCCAACACTTTATGACGCAAGAGATGGTGATTAGGCCTGTATAATACATGCTTCAGCCATCTCAATCGATGAAAGTCAACATCATTGACTGCCTTTTGTCTTCTTCCTAGAACTCTACGCCTGAGTCCTACGTTACTGATGTGATGACATCACTGCATGCGGCCTGCGCTTCTAAGGCAATAGTGGTCGAATATCTGAAGCCTTCTCATTTCTCCTACCTTGAATGACCATGTTTCACAGCCATGTAGCAGAATAGGGCAAACCATTGCAATGTACACTTGGCCTATAATAGGCGATCGGATATCCCGATGGCACCATAAATGGTGTAATTTGTCGAAGGCCTAGCGAACCTTTTGTGTCTGTACCGAAATTTCGTCAGTTACACCGCACAGGGCTGATGTGATTTTCCAGGTAAGTGTATCGGTCAACTCACTAGCCATTTCACTCTATTGTTAATCAAGGCATCAACGCAGACCAGTGCTATAGCAAACATCGGGATCACTTTGGGTACAATTGTAATGTTTAACTTGATGTAAATGGCTGGACAGACAACGCATCGGTGCAAAATTATTTGCTTTACTGCTGGGATGTATGATGACTACGTTTTTGATCACCGTTGTCTCTGTAGAACTGTTCACATCCAATGAAAACAACACGTAAATAATTCTGAGGCGAAGTGGTACGTGTTTGTATGGAATAGAGATCTTCATTCACTGAGTGAGATAATCGCGTAATACCAGTTTCGATGTCTTGTGCACTTGTTTAGTATATCATCCTAGTGGCTTCGACACTGCTGAAAGTTCGCTTGTCGTGTCACTAATTTGTACAAGTGATAAGGTCACTAGTGTGGCGCTGTGGATTGAGGGATAGTTATATTGGGACTTACGTACATACCTTTATATCGTTGATACTTGATATGTTCCCCTCTCAAAATTGGAGATAAAAATGAATGATCAATGTAATGCTGGATATACATTACTTCACCTTGACCTCGACTGTTGTTGTTAGAAACTTTCTTGTTGATTTTATGGTGAGTGGTTAAAAATCTGATTGAATATGCGTGAACACGCAGTGCTGTGATTTAGTTATTTGTCCTTCTTTGTGTAAAAAGTGGGGGACTTTTCACTTAGCGACTATGTTGCTTTGCATTCTTTTAGCACTGTCACAATCATTATTATCATTATTATTTTCTGGGTTCCAAGCGATATCAAATATCACTGGTTGGAGACTAGGTGATATGGCTCAGAATCACTCTCAGCGGTCCAACTGTATCCACATATTATCTTCATCTTAATCGTCATGCTGAATTCAGTATTCTGCTATTCCTCCTTTCTCTCCTTTGTTACTTTTTGCTGCTTTTGATCCATTCTTCTTCATTCATTTGTCTTTGATCTTAGTTCTTTCTCGCTTGGTGTACTGATATGAAGTATGACAACTGAAACCGTTGTGCAGTAATTCCAGATCCTATGTTGACATCTATTATTGTTATTAATTAGTATTGTCATTATTATCGCTATCCTGGTAGCTAAATTGCGTACATAAATACACATTTTTAAGCCATCAACGTCGGTTCTACAAATCTATGCCTTATCGTAGCATTTCTTATGAAGGCTTTTGTAGACATAGCATTTTGATTGAATCATCTGTTATCTTGTGAAAATTTGCTTCGAATCGCCTTGAAAAGTGTTCTAGCATGCTATTGTAAACGTTTATGTATCCAAGTATTACGCATTAGGATACCTAACTCATATTTCTTAATGTTTTCTTATTTCACGAACAGCTGATAGCGTAACAAATGTTCGATGTGAGAATAGTTCACTTCCACCTGATGATGTTCCTGTTAAGTGGGTTCATAGTGTATTGGAATCGTCTACTTCGTCATCATTGCCATCTTTATCCTCAACATCTCCGGCTACAGTTAACTTAATCATCGATCAATCACCTGGTGTTCTACTTGCTAAACATTATGCATCTATTGCTGCTGGTCTTTCAAAGGCACGTCTTTCAGGTTTAGTTGTTTCGACAGCTTTAGTTGGTTGTGGTTTGGCGGCTTCTACGAGTTTAGTATTACCTGAATATGTCGAACATTGTTATCGTACTACAATGTGCCTGGCTCTTGGAACCATGTTGACTAGTTCTGCTGCAAATACAGTCAATCAGGTAAGATTTATTAGATTAATATTCCCCTCCAACTGTTAAGTCGAGCGGATTTCTGAGTGTCGTATGCTAGACTGAATGTCAATTATTAAGCTGTATTAGACCACTGATTTAAATGACATTGGGATCGTCATACTGGTGCATCAATTAAGGCTAGCAGGAATAAAGATAGTTAAAAAGCAAATGAAAAGTACTAAATGAGGGTCAAAATAATAACCGTTAGTGAGGCTCGTTGTCAGCCATCCCGTTTCAGTCTTAAAATAGCTTTCATTCCAGATTGGGGATAGATGATGTTGTATTATCTTCAGACCATCTTAAAGAGCTGTTTATTTAGAGCAAATTCAGTATCTAAATTGTATAGGGATATTCGTGATGCATGTTATCAATCACCACAAGTTTACAGCTCACTAACCGATCTCTTTGATCCTATAAGCCCAGGATTACTCCTTTGTTTTGCCATGCTTACTTTTAGAGTAGTTTTTTTATCACAGACTGGCACCAGTCAGAGAACGACTAAGAATATGAGAGCACTAACTAGCTGTTTTATCTTGGCTTAGAATTCTTCGACAGCGTGCATCATCAATTGAACTGTATGGTGCTCATTTATGAGTTCCTTCAAGATGAGTTTTCTGAAGTTCTATTGAGAGGTTGTGACCTATGAGGCTAAATAAGTGTAGTGTGAGGACACTATTTGGTGGCATTGGATGGTAGTTGTGCTATGTCCATAATCCACAGAATTAGGAGAATACTGACCATTGAATCTTGAGCACAGTGATTAAACGGTAATGTGCTCGCCAAGAGACGTGATGATTTTGGGCTCCATTTCCCACAAGGTCGTTGGTGTACACTGCTGAGGAGTTACGGACTGAGATGTTATACCTGTTTAGGACTCTCTCGCTTTCAGTGGTTCTCTCTCGGATGTCAGTCCATTTGGAAAAAAACTACTTTGAAATCAATCAATCCTCACGAACCGCCAGTCTGTTAGGCCTCATTTATATGATGCAGGTACTAGTGATCAAACATTCCACACTGTTTGCATTTCATCTGCTTTCAGTGTTAATTTCTTACAGAAGCGTTGAGTTTTATTAATCATCATATAATCGGTCAAATTAGCCTGTTGGATAAAGTTTCCACTTCTTCAAATTCTAGGTGTGGACAGAAAGTGATTGGAGTTGTTTTACTGGGACCAGTTTTAAGCTCTGTTGAATGTATTGCACTCACTGTGTTTATGCACTGTACCTGCGTTGACACTAATCATCACTAGGGTTGCATGAGACCTGAGAAACAGTAAAAAGGAGCTACTTGTTAAATAACTGTGACGTCATGTAAGTATTTATGCTTATATGCTAGTCATACAGTGAAACAAAATGCACTGCCATTTCACACGGGTGACAAAATGGGTAAACGAACGATCTTATTTCTTCTTCATCTGTAAAATTTTTTTGTGATCAGTTGACTAAGAGTTCTACTACCATTCGTGAAATGTTTCTGGCTAAAATTCACATAGTTATTAACTCAAAATAATCGTGTAGTAGTTTTACAGAAGTTAAATGTTTATTATAAGTTTACTTTTTCGTCTATTTTCACCATGTTTGTTTTATAGTATAACTCCTATTTACAAAACGTTTTATCTTGTATGTTAACTGTCTCAGTCGTAGATTTTCCGTAAGCAACTTGTATACCTGGTAACTATTAACTTTCCGAGGCTATCTGATTCTTTTAAGCAGCTGGTCATTACAAAAACGTAATGAAATGTTTACTTTACTCACTAAGTATCCTTGACTGTAGTCGCCTTTGCCTAAGCAGTTCATAGCAACCAGCGACTAAAGCTTCAATGTACTGTGGAGTTTTATCTTTAGAGAATTAAACAAATAACTCCAATTTCATTGTGTTCAGCTGAATATTTTATGAACGTTTATATCGCTGAGTAACTTTATCTTGTTTTATTTAAAAATGCTGAATGTAATCAGTAACTGTAGTGAATCCTTGATATACAAGGATTGTATATTCCTCCAACTAAATACTTTTTTATTTAGGGGTTAGCAAATTCCATTTAGTTAGTTTGATGTATAATTCTGACTTTCAAATTAGCGGATTATGTATTCAGTTCCCAATGCCAACACCAACACTCATTAAGATGTACTTATACAAAACTGGTGTGTTTCAAATAGAATGGTATGTGAAATCTAAATACCACCAAACGTTAAAAGTGAATTCTGTTTTACAGTTCACTGTAACAGTTCCATGGTAACTTTACTTTCAGATTATCGAAATTCCGTACGATAGTCAAATGACTCGTACAAGAAATCGGGTTCTTGTTCGCGGTTTAACAACGTGAGTTACTCTGCTAAGATTTTTACGATTTGACAATTTTTCTTAGAGATTTTATGCTTAAAGTTAGTGTTCTCAGTTATAGTTAAGTGAACATGAGACCATATGCAATAGCCGTGATTTATTAAACTGGTCTTTTTTTAGTAGAACGATAGTGTTGCAGGTTGAATAAAACCCAGAAGCTGCTGTTTGGAATTCTGCTACAGCTCAGGATTATATTCCTACTCCGACTATTGCCTCATTATGTATAATTAAATATTTAGAATTGAAGAGGAATAAGATATGTGCTTGCTTGAGTTTTCTGGCACTCACGCCCTAACGGTTGTTTTTCTTTCATAAGTCAGGTTATATCGTTGTTTATGAAAATAAACCGTTGAGTTATTATGGAAACGTTTGAGAGCAACTTCCAAACGTGATCCCTGTGCTAACTGCTTCACTGTATCGTCGACCACCCTAAGTCATAAAACGTTACATCGGTTCAGTTTGTATATTTTGACTGATCGATGGAAGCTGGACTCGACTTTCAACCATTGCACGATTGGTTCCAACCTTGTTTTACCTACTGGACAAAGTTGAAGCGAGACTTGAATCTAAATTCCTTTGTTTAGAAGTTGTATTCATAAGATCTTTAGTCATATTTCCTCTCCGTGTGGAAATAAACTTCATATCCGATATGAAGAGCGTGCTCAGTGAAATTATAAATCAGAACTTCAAACAAATCAGAAGCAGCACATCATTTCATCTAAGAGATGAAATCCTGCATTATTCTTGATTAAACTGTACCTATGGGAAAACTATATACAGACCATGATGCCATTGATATATTAGGAAAATAATGAATGGAAGGAATTCCTTGTAACTTTCGATAAGATTTTAAAATCAGGCTGTTAAATCGAACATAACAAGAATAAAATCGTTCGAAAGGTATGAGAAATGTTTCATTGCTGCATTCTTTCATGTAAACTGAAATCAAAATCGCCTAAACAGAAATAGAAATAGGAGAATAAAGCTGTATTTGACCTTGGCTTCCAATGAATGCTTCCTCTGTTTGGATATAAAAGAAATTTATGTAGTATGCGGCATTATAACTGAAAGATTATTGAGTAAGCAGCTTAATTGGATTTTCCTTTTCCTATTTACTGTAAATTTTTAGACCTGGTAGAGCAACCCTTTTCGCTTTAGCTTGTTCTGCATCTGGACTAGGATTACTGTATTTTGGTGTGAATCCGCTTGTTACTGGATTAGCTGTTGTAAATATGTTTCTGTATACATGTATATATACACCAATGAAACAAATAAGTCAGGTGAATACATGGATTGGAGCTTTGGTTGGTGCTATACCTCCATTGATGGGTTGGGCTGCAGCTACTGGGCAGTTACAATGCGGTATGCTTTAATACACCATTTTGCTTATTAAAGATAGCTTGTATTATAGGTGCTTTGCTATTAATCTTCATGGAATAGGTGACCATCTAGATGTTTTGCCTTTATGTAGTTGTTTTTCAAGAAGAGTTAAAGCGTTAAAGTATATGCTTAATGTTTATCAACAGATTGTAATTACCGGGGTATATCTAGGCATGATGAAAAACTTTGATTACAAACTAATAATGTACATGGACTCCTTGGCCCAGAACAGACGAATGGCCCTGGAACCTACTTTCACCACCACATTATGGATTAGACTTCAAGTAACAAGTACGATAAGTGGTCCCTTAAAACAACCGCTGATTTGGTATGCGTCTCCATTCAGTATCTCAACCCCCACATTCATAAAATAGGTGTAACTGATAACACAGTTTATCCGGATACTTTATAATGAAAGCTACCGATAATTTCGTTACTTGAAAGCTCATATTTATCACAGTTCCTGCGCAAAATGATGAATTAGTTAATAATTTCTGAAATTTTTACCGTGAATTCCAACTATGAATACCTAAGTATTTACAGACTATCTGAACATTTGTTTAATTTATCCGAACTACTGTGGGAAATTTGGATTGCTGTGTGACTGACAGATATGGGCTATGCTGAATAGATACATATTCGTAGTGTACTGTTTTCTTACCCAAAAGCATACATCGGAATCTCTGGTTACCAAGTAAGATCTAAGATGGTTACCCAGTGTCGAGTTGTTTATGGAGACCATGATATAATTGAGTGATTTGCGAACAACACCTTAATGTGTCGGAGATCGCATCAGTTATACGTGATTCCTACAAGACTTTCAACGAAAATCACTTAGTGAAGACAAATATTGATTTCACGACTAACATATAACAGTAGATTACGAAAACCAATTGATGAGGTAAAGTTATAGTGAAATTACCATATGGATGAAGGCAAACAAGAGGTTAAAAATAAACATAAATACGGGAATAAAATAATCAGAAAATCTGTACAATAAAGTAACTTCGGAAAACCTTAATTTCCTTTGTATTACTTCCTTAAAAGAAAGAGGATCCAAGGAGGCTACAGCATGATTACCAATAGTGTAGATTCTAAGCCATATTTGGTGTAGTCTTAAACCCTTAAGTTGCATCGTCTACTAAACTTCATCGAACGATTGGTGCTTTAACAGATGTTAACAAAAAAGTGGTTCCCATCCCACTGCAGACTAACTGCATCTTCGTTTTTCCAAACCCAGTTCCAGGGTATGTAAATCTCTGTGATCTAGCATGCTTGTTGGATTTCAGAGTCACCGAACGCGATGTTTCAAGTTGACCTACATTACGAAATAAGTATTCTCGCTGTGAGCTAATACCCGTCGTCAAATCTCACGGATTTTTATCATACATTTTTGATTCCCCGGTATCTCACAGTTTATTGAAAGCATCCAAAGAGATGGGGAAAAAACTACTTGTGCCAAACAGTTTTCATGTTGGTATTCAAGTTATTTTGATATCTCCCCTTACTGTTTTGTTTCATCAAAGTTATTTGAAACTAAAAGAACAATGTGATGATCAACCCCAGTAACACGTAGTCGGTATTCTGTGTACGTAGTAACTTCTCAATTTTTTTTATCCCACTAACTATCGCACGAGATTATGCAATTCAGTTAAAGATTGACGTAGAATTAGTAACCTTTTTGTTGTAAGAACAATTACCAATATGCTTAGTCAGTTATGTTTTTCTTGCTGTCTAAAACTGAAAGATTTCAAATAGTCTCAGAACAACTAAATTAGCTTAATCTGCTACATGTATTGTTCCTGCTGTATTCAAATAAGTGTGACAGTGTTACGAAGTGTTGTAAACCACATGCTCAATTGGAAAGAGCTCATTCCTTGTCTGAAAACGTGCGTAACAAAGGATTATATATATATGAATTCTCCGGCGTAAATAGAATCATTTGACAGGTAGTATTGTGTCTAGTCACGTCAGCCTCTTTAACTTTATTAATTGATGGTCCTTAAGTGAAGATAAACGTAATTGCTACTTACATTGTTCATTTAATTATTTTTATTTAATCTACCTTTTCTACAGTGAGGTAACTAATGTATTGTTTTAAACGATGTTTTTATACTTCTCATACAACTTTTTTTCTCTTCAGGTTCACTAATTCTGGCCAGCTTGTTATATGTATGGCAGTTTCCGCATTTTATGGCACTCAGTTGGAATATGCGCGGGGAATACTCTAAGGCTGGTTATGCAATGACTTCAATATTAAATCCTAGTTTATGTAAACGAGTTGCTCTACGTCATGCAATCGCTTCAAGTTTAGTTTGTTTAGCTGGTGCTGGTTGTAGTGCTATTAGCTTGGGACCATGGGCTGGTTGTGCACTTGGTATAGGCTCACTGCCAGCTAATGTAGGTTTGATTTACTATGCATGGAAATTTGCACAAACTGACTCAGGGATTGATGGAAGTTCTGCCGCTGCAAGACGTCTCTTTCGAGCAACATTGTTTCATCTTCCTGTAGTTATGATTACTGTGTTAGTTGGTGCTTATTGCTCTATTAATTCTGGACACTATTGATGATGGTACTGTTGACAGTGAACAACCAATATGACTCTCACTGCTGCATTATCTGTTTAGAAAAATGTACTGAGTTACAGTGTCCAGTGTACTTTAGGATATATTTTGTAATATTATCACCTATGTAGTTCACAGAGGATTGTTACCCCTATCCCCCAGTGTAATTGTATTTTACTGGCTTGTTTAATACCAAAACATCCTATTCGAAATAAATATAGCAATACACTGTTCTTTCGTTTTTACTAGTTTTGTTAACGAAGATTTTTTGTGATCGAAATAGTAGTGCTTATCGAATGAGTTGGGATGTAATCAGTCAAAGTATTGCTAGTCACTGCAGAAATTCGCACAGGAGAACCGAAGTTTTCATCGTTTTTGGAATGTGTATCAAGAATTAAATATGCACTAGCAACATATTGTACTCTGTAACACGGTTGAGAGATATTGTCAAATAAAGTAAACACTACGAGATCATAGGCAATTCATACCTTCTTAACCTAACTTGTATATAACGGCACAACTGAGTGATAAAAATCAAGCTACTTTTAGACTTGTTTATAGTATCACTGTAAACTTATTGTCTACCTATATATATATATATATATATATATATATATATATATATATATATATATATATATATATATATATATATATATATCAATAGGTAGGCGATTTTTTCATCGTTCCCCAAGTGTTATCCACGTTCAAATCACCGAATGGATACCAGTTTCATGGTTGGCGATAAGCCTTGCTGATGTGTGCTACTGAATGCATAATAAGTGTGTGTGTGTGGCATAAGTGCTGGTCCTCATAAAAGCGAATTAGTTTTCCCTTTGAGATGATGAGTGAAATATCATCTATTCAGTTTAGGAATACAACAGGTCTGCAACCACTCCCAGTTTCATGATAAGAAGAGAAGTGGTGGAATATGTCGACTACTTCACTTACTTAGGGAGTTGCACCAGCCCAAACGGGCTGTTTGCTGACGAAATCCCAGCTCTAATGCAGAAGGCCCGATTAATATTTGCTAACTTGAGTCATTCCTGTTGCCCACTGGTGAGATATCCAACTATCTATCAACGGACAAGTAAACTGTGCTACATCCCGCCCTGCCCTGTTGTACGGCTGAGACATGGTCGTTAAAAGTAGGAAGCATGTAGCGATTGCAGGATTTTGATCACAGATGTCTTCGTAGGATTGATCGCGTTTGGTAGGAACACCATGTGAGCAATATTGAACTCAGGCGAGGGTACCAAGCAAGACAGGTAGAAAAGTCGATTGCTGAGGTTGTGAACCTTAGTTAACTGAAATGGCTTGGACATGTGTTAGGGTTTCCGAGCCACCGCCTATCTCGACTCGCCATACTAGGGTAAGTTGGAAGATCTTTTAGGGTGACCAGACCAAGATGTGATACCAGTCGATTTAATCTCTCACTGTTAGTCTGAGGCGCGTCAGGAGATGTAGACTGCTTGGTTGGGATCTGCGAGATAAAAGGAATCAGTGGTTAAAAACTCTTGGTGACGTGACAAAATTGGTCACAATGTCGTAGGTGTGGTTATTCCTTGACATTTTCCACAGCTTGAATATTTGCACTAATTGTGTTCACCTTGTTTGTTCTCTCACACTACTTTATCTACTTTAATATCACCCTTTTTCCATCCACCTATTCTTTGTGTACTACTGTGAAGTGTGGCAACTTTAGCCGATACACTTGTGTGTGAGGTTCTACTTTGATTTTGCGGTCAGTCATGTATATTTAGCTGGCAGCAAATGGGACTTCGTATATACATCGATATCAAAATTTCAGTGAGTTAACTTTCACTAATTCACCTTAGAGGTGTGGCTCATTGGCCTAGACATTCAACCTACAACTGGTAGGTCATGGGTTCAAACCCTACTCCACCTACTGAGGTTTAAACAGTCGAGCAGTATTGTTAGCCCTGACATAGTAAGTGGGGCTCGTCACCTACTACATGTGATTGCTGAGTTCATGTCTATCTGAATTCATCCGAGATAGGTTGATTGCAAAATCCTGCTGAAATATAAGACTTGTAGTGGACCCAAAGAACGTCAAGTAAACCAAAATGACAAACTACGTACAATTTACAAGAAAAATGGATTTTATGATACACATGTATGGAAAGTTATACGTTATAGCATAAACAGTATTGTCAATGTTATAGATAATCACTGGTTACTTGGAGGTTATCTCTTCGGTATTGTCCACCACAATTTTGGGATACTCCAGAGATCAGAAGGCGATATTTGTTGGCTCTCCTCAGTGGTCGCTGGTAGGCTTGCTTGTCGTAATATTTGGAAGTAGGATGAGAAGTCCTGTAAATTCCCAAGACAATCAGTTATTATGCACGGCAGGCAATAGTCACGGAGGCAGAAGTCGGAATGGTTAGAAGCACATTATATTTCCACGATTAGCAGCAGCAAAAGATGCAATTACAGCTACAACCAAAAAAGTGTATATATAAACAACATTCGTTTTTACAAGTATTAGGAAGAATGTGTTAAAGAAACGATAAAAAGGAAATATTGCTTATAGTTGAAGTGGTTTATACACAATTGTATGCAGTCTCCACAGACTTCTGATCACAGATATATTTCAACTTCAGATAACATAAAATATTTCCAGAGTACCAGCAGAAATCTTGATTATCATGATCACCTTGTCAGATACAACTGGTTGGTTTTCTAATATCACTGCTCACAGACACTTAGTAACCGTACTGCTATCGTAACCTCTGTATTTTTCTATCCAAAGCTACAGTAGTTCTAAGGTGTGCACTGATCACAAAGCTCAAACTGGGATAACACAAGTATTCATGCTTGCTGATGCTAAAATACATAACGGGGAGTGACACCCGCCATAATGTACGCTTCTGGAAGTTCGGCAAGATGCAAACTTTAAAACCTATAGGGATCTTAATGATTTCAGGGAACTTTTGAGCATTTTCATTGATTGTGCTCGAGTTTTTAAAATGACAAAATACTGACAACCTTGCACATCTTGGAAGTGATTGCTAAAACCTGAAATGTTGGACAGGCAACATCATAGACCCAAAATTGTCTGCTCACTTTGCTACATCTAATACTGTTCATTTTAAACAGTCCAGCACTGATTTATCTCAGTAGGCCTAGACACTGATGACTGCGAAAATGGGTCCCATTTGAGAAAATGAGTTCCCCAGTCTTCAAAACTGTATGAGGGGAGAAGGGCTTGCACAAGTCCAGAAAGCAGGATTTCCGCACTGTAATGCACTTAATTCTTTCCGTTTCCTTTTGCATACATTGGGAAGTATAAATACTAAAGGGATAAGTTATTTCGTCCCTGTCTTACTGTGCTTACCGTTGAACCTTTGTTAGGGGCCATTTTCGCAAAGGCAGTGTTCAACAACAGCCACCTCGTCTTGGATTTTCCACTCGGAGAACAGTTTAGGCGTACAGTGTGTTCTTGCCAGAGATTTTTTGTGACTACCTGGCCAAAAACCGTTTAGGTGTCTAGGCCACTTCATGCGTCTTTCCGATGAGTTTCCCTAGCGATATTTCCATCTATATGAAATTTCCACGCATAAAGCACAGACTAAACTCAAAACAGAGAAAGATCTATCCGGTCACTAAGACTGTGCTGCAGACTAACTGATCAAAGAAACAATTTAAAGTGGACTCTTGTTGCCTCCAAATGTACGTGACAAAGAACATAGAGAAAGGTTCTTGTTTGTATTTCTAAACATTTTGGAGCAGTTTGAGTCTTAATGCTCCACAGGGTTTGAATAGCGTAATCGTTCAGGATTTACTTGGTATGGGATATAGTGTTGACGTTTCAAAGTGAAACCTAACCGTTTGCGTTTCACTAAAGCAGTTGCAATTAAAGGACTCAGATTTAATCTGTATATTCAAAAATATAAAGTTGTCAGTATCGCTCTACTTGGCTAATTTTATTACCTAAATCTATGACAATAAAATTTCACGACCTTGCCTTTTCTTTTTCGATTAATTTCAAAACCTAATCTCATCCCTCCTTTGTGGTGTTCATCTTCTTACTCATTACAATAGAGATCTGTCAACCTTTTTAATACGCTCACTTAATCATGACGTAATTTTTCCCAACTTTAGCTATCTTCTTTAGTGTTCATTCCGCCATTGTTTAAATAGTTAGATTTGAGTAGTTTTAACAACCCCACTGATTTCTGTGGGTCCACATCTTTTTTATTTTCCATCTAAATCAACATTCTTGTTGATTCACGAAAGTATGTAGTGTACTTTCTTCCCATCATAAACATACATTGTAGATTGTAAAGCAGCTGATGAGAATCTAAGAGGTACATGTCTGCTAATTCTGCTACTTTTGTTACTCTTACTTTATTCAAGTTTTTGAAATGGAGCAATTGTATCAAATCACCCTAGTATTCAATTTTAATTCAATTATGTCTGACGAATGGGGTTATATTAACCGATGACCAGTCTCTCTATTTTACCCAACCACAAGGTATGCGTTGCTAGATATGATTGAACGATATGTGAAGAGTTTGCAACGTGGTTTCAACATATAATTGCTACTGGACAGTGCTGATGTCATATGTCCAACTTATAAAAGTAGTACTTATCATTTGTGGTGTCTTGGACATAGATGCAGCTGAATACTCACTAATTATAAGTATCTCAACAGGTTAGCTTATTTTTCGGAAGAAAAAGGTGAAAAGAGAAGTGTTCAACAGTCGTAAATACAGTCTTCAGCGAAAAACTACAATTAAACTTCACTGAACTTATAACTGGACTAGACTGAAATCAGGACCGCTTGAGATCTTAGTAAATGCTTATAAAAAGCACAAACAGCAAAATGGGTGTGGTTTATCGATGGAGCTGTAGCTCATACACACTACATGTGGCTCACTACCTACTGCACGGTTGTGCCCAAGGTTGCTGAATGAATTTCGATTTTTTTCGCTACATAGATTACAGTGGTGCTTTTGTACGCAAAACTTATCTTCATTTTAATCTTTACGTTACGTTTCGTTGTTGGCTTTATCTTATTTTGTCATGTGAATTTTTACAACTTGCAACCACATTAGTTTCATTGCAATGCCTTCCACTTTGATGTGATGCACGACAAATTGAACCGTTACATTGTTTAGAGGCTGTAGGCTAATCATGTCTGTATGTGTACTAGATAGACACCTACAGTTTTGCATCATGTTTGAGAAATCAGTTTCTAAATTTGAATTCTCATACGTATCGCTGATAAAGAGAAGATTAATAAACATATTTTCAGTATATTTACATTCATTGCTGAAATTTCTCTCGAACTAAATGCTTCACAACGTTTTGAATATGAGGAATAATTGATTTCCTGGCTTCAATCCAATCCCGCTTTATTTTTTCTGGATTCGTTATTGTAAAATAATCCATCCCCTCTTTATAATGGGCAGCAAAAAAAGACTCTTGACTAACAGTGTTTAGTTCATCATTATCGTCTTCTTGATCTTCTACAGATAAGCTTTCTTCTTCATCCAGTGTTTTCCATTCTTTTACAACTTGTTCGAGTGGAAAGTTGAATTTAAACTGATCTGGATCCATTGAATACCTAAATGTTTTGTATAAAATACAACAATGAATCGACATACGTCAAAATGAAGCTAAAATTCAACAAACTATCCATCTAACTAGTATACCAAAGAGTCCAATAATCCTCTAGAACTTAACTTGAACGGTTGAGAAACAGGTACTTGACACCAAACTTCATTTTCAGTGTGCAAACTTTATCCTGATACCAATCCAACAGGTATTTTTATCTCATGTTACAGATATGGTTTAGACTCCTGTTCGCAGCTTGGGGACGTATCAACTCGAACGAATTAATTGAAATAGGCTAGAAGATGACGGTCAATGAGACTGCCACTATAAAGAATCGGTCGCTGATAACATCTAAGGAAAGACGGTTGGAACGTGGGAGAGAAAACAACGACAAATGTTTAAATAGCCGTGTGCTGCGTTGATATCTATTCTAACTCTCACTGAGAAGGCCGTTTCACACCTGAAACCATGAAAAGCAGCAGGATTCAAGAGTTTATCACTAGAGGATTTTAAGTATGAAGCCAGTAAATTAATAAGATTATCGAAGGTTTAATACAAACGGTAAAACTTCTACAGTCATTCAACTAAAGTGTCATAGCAGACAGTACGGCTTTAGTAGGCGATTTAGCGCGAGTTTAAAATGGAAAAGTTGAGTCACTTCACTATCATTTCGTTCTTGGCTGTGGTTTAGGAAGTTCACAATCGATCATTAGGCCACGGGTTCGAACCCCACTCCACCAACCGAGGTTCGGATAGTCAGGTAGTATCACTAGCCCTCACACAAGAAGTGTGGCTAACTAGCTGCTACACGAATCTGCACAAGGTTCCTGAATGCGTTACGTTACATTCACAATCACAGAAACGTTTCTAAGCCAAGAAATACATACGCTTGATAAATGCATTAGGATATCTTATTTCTTGAAGAGTACAGGATACACTAAAGAACTTTTCAAAAGAGAGAAATTATCTGAAGGGAAAAAACAAGGTATTCGGATTTCCTTAAATTAGTTCAATTTTTTTCAAAATGACAAATAATATTCAAAAATCAATTATTCCATTTTAAGGTACGTTATTTGTTAGACTGAATTCTTACACGTTAAGAAAATTTTCTACCACCAAAAAGACTGAAATCCCAATTAACTTGTATACCACTGAACATACTAGTAGTAGCATCATCCGTAGAAATAGGACCGTCTCTTTAAGAGACTGCAGAAAAAATTAGACACCAAAGTCTACATATTCTAACGTCGAAAAACACCAAGAATGGTCTTGTTAAAACAAGAAGAGAATGGACTTGTCTTCTTGAAAATAACAAGAATATGGGCGTAATGAAATATCGAAAAAGCAACATCACTGTCGATATGAACACACCGGAAAACGAACAGAAAATCAACAAACATTTATCTTGTGGACCGTTAGAAACAAAAACCTCAACAACTAAAAAAAGTGAAAATACAGACAGGCAAATTAGTGGGTAAAATAAAAACGAATCAAGGTAATTTTTCGTCATTTAATATGGTACCAAATAAAGTGTATCTGTGGACTTTCAAAAATACATACCAAATATTTAGATTCGACTCATTTAGGATTAAATAAATTTTTCGTCATATAACTATCCAACTAACTTACAAACATTCTTACACCACTGAAACAACATAGAAAGTCTGACCAAAAAACACCAGAATAAACTTAGAAACCGGAATTACTGTGTAACCATTCAAACTGCCACATCTCATATCAACACATTAGGGTAGAAGACAACAAAACGAAACATCAGAAATTTGTCTTTGTAACTTCGAAACCCATGACCCTCGGTATCGTGGTAGATTGTTATACACTGGTAGTTATGCGCAAAACATTGGAAAATGCGGAACAATTGTTTTATTAAGGTTGAAGAAATCTGTATTTGTAGCTGATTTAGATAGGGCGAGTCAGCATGTGGCCTAGCAATATCGAGTGATGATCCAAGTTGCCACGCATCAGAACAATAAGGTACGAGGCATCGGCATGAAACATCAGAAATGTGAAAGGAAAACATTAAGTTGTAAAAGAGAAGGAATAAAACAATGACGAAGTTCAGTATCTCGATTACGATGACGGTATTGCGTAGATGCATTTGCACCACTGAGATCATCTACAGTCGTCTCCAACCACTGATGTCGATTGGCACGTGAACTCCAACCGGGAAGTCTACATTCACTCACATGGTTCAGATCAACAGTTACGGACTTCATGGACTGTTGCTGTGTTAGGGTCTCACGTTTCTCCAGCCTGGTCTTACTTCAGCTAACATTGCACAACGAGGCAGACGGTGACTAGGCAAGCGTAACACATGTCGCAGCCATTTGTACCGATGACGGTTCACAACCCAACTAACTGACTTACCCCTACTGCTTACAACTCTACTTCGGACGTCTGTGTTACTGAAGTGCCAGTTCCATGAAACATCTAGGATACGAAAGCCGTGGTAGTTGACAACCTGAAGCCTCCGAATATCCTTCATTTTCAATAATCTTGTTTTGCATCGATGTAGCTGAACAAAGCGGACTGTAGCACAGTACAGTCGACCCTTAACAAGCAATGGGGTATCACGCTGGTAACATAAACAGTAGATGGTGGCAAAAGCTAGACGAGCCTTGTGCATCCATGCGTAGATTTTTTTGGTCATAGACTCGCCAGGGCTGATCGGACTTCCTAAGTGATTGAAGTAGTCAACGAGCTAGGCCACTTCACTTGCTTCTATTAGAAGCAGTACCAGCGAAGACCAGTTGTCAAGAAAAGATTCGCATTTTGGGTGGTGAGAAACGTATCACAAATTTTTTCAAACTGGCGGAGTCGAAAGCTGCCTCTAAATCAAGAAATAAAGCTAGTGCCGAGCGTCCGTAAGTGTGCCTCCGTTTCAGAACCTGCCACTCAAGGCGTTGAGGAGACAGCATTTTCAGTGAAAAGAAGTCATCAGTGTAATCTAGGCCTACTTAGTTTTTTCTTTTGAGTCAATTCCATTAAAGTCAGACGAGGAGAGGGAGACCGTTATAAGTATGTCTATGACACAATTAAATAAGAATGGACAGTGGATATCCTTGACTGACACTTTTTGAAGTACACAACTCACCTGATATATTACCATGGGCTCTAACACGCCAATAGGTGTTTAAATACAGTACTCCTTCCGGTGAAACACACTGCCACAAGACCACTCAGTCGATTGAGTCGAAGGGGACCTTCAAGTCAAGAAATACAGCTAGTGTCATGCGTCGGTGTGTCTGTGTCCCAGAACCTGGTGGAGGGTGATACACTTGCGACCAAGTCTGAGACCTGCATGGTTTTCTTATTATTTACTGCTCCAGAGCTCCATTTAAGAGTTCATTTAATGAACCTCAGTTCTCGGACACCATGTTCCTCAAACTGATTACCCTGTGGTGATCACAAGAGGACTTCTCCCCTATCTTGGAAACTGGGACAATCAATGACTGAGACCAGTTAAAAGAGATCATATTTCGGTCCCGTAAGCTAGCTAACACTTTATTTAATCCAACTAATATCTCCGGTAGTAGCCCACTTGTCCTTACTGCCCTTCCTCGTTTGAGGTTGTTTACAGCCTTCTGCACTTGTTAACCAGTGTGATTGAGGCAGCAGGCTGCTGTGTAATTTCACTCTGAGATGAAACTGTGCAGCCTAAATGTTTTCCCAGGTCGTCGGTTCTTTAAGAAAACTACATTCAACACTGTTAGTGTAGTTTGTAACGATTTTATTACTCCGGTGCAATTTTTCGTTAAGACACAAATCCGCTCCTTCACATTGCGTAAAGCGTTCCTAACGTCTCTGAGTTGGAAGAGGGGCATTTTTTAGTGTTTCATTCAGTAACCGACTGAAGAGTTGGGAGCTGGCAAGTTGCTTAAAATTTTTTACCCATCGTTCTAGTCGCTTCCGATGCGAATGAACCAAATACCCAATCTGCTGTGGCCTTATTAAATAAAGACTTAATCTCCCCAGTTTCTTTGATAATTCTGGGGGACTGTCTACAGTTACATATCTTCGCCGCCTTTTCCTTATCTTTAGCTTACGCTACCCACCACTTCCCACGCAGATAGTGTTAATCTTTTGTCAACCTATATTTGATTTGCTTTCGCTCTTCATTGTGTCCGGAGGCTGCAAAAGTGTGTTGACGTGCATCTATTAGTTCTTAAGCTAGTGAGATCCTTTTTAATCTCTTAACGTTGTTTTCATAGATTGGAAATTAAACCAGACTTTTTCTGAATGCATGACGTTGTTCTCTTCCAATAATTGTCCGTCTAGCCAGTTCCTCGCTGAGAGTGGCCTTAGTATTCGTATCGCCAAACAGCGTTCGAAATGATTTTGTTGCTGTAGCTTTTCTACATCTATTTAGACGTAGATATATGGGCGGTCACACCAGCTCGTTATCGCTGTCTTAACATGTACTTCAAAATGAACGGCGAACGTCTTTATCGATAACTGATAGCAACATGGTATACACACATTCTTACTGGGTTGAGGTCGGAAGACGTGACGTCTCTCAGTATCCTTGAAGTTCGCACTGGTCAGAAATACATGGTTCATTGAGCACAGATGTAATGTAGCAGGCGATCTTCGTTATCTACTCGTTCAGTTGGGATTGCGAAATTGCCATTTAAGCGTCTTTTTGACTGACTAAGCCTACCCACTTGTAAACTGAAACCACTTGCAACAATTTTAGGTAAAACTCATCTTTCACTTCACGGATCTTAACTGGATGGAGGAAATCGGCAAGCCCTTGACCTCGATGCACTTCGGCACTTGTCAGCAAGGCGTATCTTTAACCTCGACGGAGCCGATATCCCGTCTAAGATTCGAATCCACGTCATCCAGTGTTGTATTTGGAGACGTAACCACTGAGGTATTCAGGCCATGACTGACCTCCTGTAGAACTGGATTGTGTACATTTATTGATCTCTGGAGGATAACCATCTTTCACCTCATCCGAACTGTAGTTAGTGGGTGCGTAAGCAGAGG